GGGCTAGTGAAATGGCTCAACAGGTAAAGGTGCTTGCTGTCAAGTCAGACAACCTGAGTTTGAGCCCTGGGGCCCACATGGTAGAGGGAGAGAGTGACTCCTGCGAATTGTCCTCTGACTTCCACATGCCTCACTGTGGAATATACAACTACCTTCCCAAGACACACACACAAATAAATGAATGTTTAAAAAATACAAACTATCTGAATTGATACTTCTTAAAAACAAATGAGTTAGAAATACATATGTTCAGCAGCATAATCATCAGGAAATGCAAATCAAAATCACAGTGAGATCATTCTGCTCCAGTTGGCATGTCTGTTGTCAAAAAGACAAAGCATATCAATTACTGTAAAGGGTGGGTGGAAAGGGGAAGCTTTTCACACAAGGTAAGAATGTGAATTAGTGTAGTCACTGTGTAAAGAGGATGAGACCCTTAAGATACCCAAAGTAGAGCTACCATACAAACCAGTGATCACTACTGGGTACATATCTGAAGGAAAAGCAGTAGGTGTTCTCAGGAGACCATCCCACCATGCTCCTTACAGAGCTGTCACAGTAACCAAGAGATGGAAGCAACCAGCCAATGGACAGAGGAAGTGTGGTGTGCATACACAGTAAAGTACTAGCCAGCCATAAAAGGAAACCCTGCCACTTGTATGAACACACATGAACCTGGTGACATTCTGCTAAGTGAAATAGGCCAGGCACAGAAAGACACGAATGAGTGTGCAATCAAAAAAATGTTCTCTACAGGAGCAGAGGGTTACCAGAGACTGGAGTGTTTGGCAGATATGGGGAAATGTCAGTCAGTCAAAAGATACTTGGGGACAGTGAGACAGGAGGGGTAGGCTCATGAGATATACTGCATGGATGGGGACTAATGACAGCATACTTGGGCTGGAGAGATGGCTTAGTGGTTAGGAGAGCATATTGCTCTGGCAGAAGACCCACATTCAGTTCCTAACATCCATATCAGGCAGCTCACAACCACCTCTAACTCCAGCACCAGGGGATCTGAAGCCCTCTTTTGACCTCCATGGGTACTACATTTATGTACACATACCTACACACATATACACATAATTTAAACATTAAAAAAATCCTGTATTTGGAGGAGCACGTGCCCAATAGATGGGTTGCCCCTGCCCCTCCCCTTTAAAAAAATATTGTACCGATGGGCTGGAGAGATGGTTCAGTCAGTTAAGAGCACTGACTGCTCTTGCAGAGGACCCGGGTTTGAATCCCACCACCCACAAAAAGGCTAACAACCATCTACAACTCCAGTTCTAGGGGATCTCATGCCATCTTCTGATCTCCACAGGCACTGCATGACATGGGTATACTTATACAAATGCAGGCAATACACTCATACACATAAAAATAATAAATGAGTTTTTTTTAGCCCTGCACTGAAAGATGCAAAGAGCAGCTGTTAAGGGTTTTCATAATAAAAATGACTGTGTGAGCCAGGTGTGGTGGCACGCACCTATAGTCCCAGCACTCAGAAGGCAGAGGCTGGTGGATCTGTGTGAGATTGGGGCCAGCCTGGTTTCCACAGTGAGTAGCAGGCCAGCTTGGGCTACAGGAAGACCCTTTCTCAAACAACAACCACCACCATAACAACAAAACTATGTGAGGTAACAGGTTAATTAGCTAGATTTAATGATTCTATAATAACTTACATCAAAGCATCATATTGTACTAGACAAATATATACAAAAACTTAAGTCACTCAATCCTCACAGCTTGAAAAATGGGCCATTTAATGTCTTTTCTATTAAAATGGCAAAATGTTCATATTCCTTTTAAAATAGTTTGATTTTTTAAATCTGAATTTATATTTATTTATGGGTAGGGGGATATTTATGTACCAAAGCTCAGATGTGAAGGTTAGAAGCAACTGAGTTGGTTCTCTCCTTCCACCATGTTGGTCCAAGGGACTAAACCCAAGCTATCAGGCTTAGCAACAAGAACCTTTATCCACTGTACTATCTTGCCAGCCCATGATTTCATATTCTTAGCATGTTACTCTTCCTCAGCAAAGACCCAACTTGTCAAGTCAGTGGCTAAAACAGGGATGTGACAGAGGGGCAGTTTCAATAGGAAGCACTACCACAGCCGAGCCTACTGACAGTCACACTACCCTTGTGGAAATGATCAAAGGGTCACAAGTAGATTTTTAGTTATTTGAGATTTGTTTTATTTTTATTTATGTGTGCATGTCTGTGTGTCTCTGCATAGACATGCAGGTACCTATGGAGGCCATAAGAGGGCACTGGATCCCTTGCACCTGGAATTAAGACAGTTGTGAGTCACTTGACATGGGTGCTAGGAACTGAACTTTAACCCTCTGCAAAAGTAGCAAATGATTTTAACCACTGAGCATCTCTCCAGTCCATCAAGCAGCTTTTAAAATAAGCATTTCTAGATTCTTCCAGCTGGTAAAATTGCACACTTCCATTTACTCCTAAATTTTTGTATTTCAAGACAGAAAGCAAAAGCAGCAATGCAGACCCCTGTTGATGCAGCTGAGGAAGGGGGAGCCTTGCTCAGGAGGGGACAGCTTCTTTCCTTACTCTGGAATATTCTGCATAAGTGACTGAAAGTCCCCTCTGGTCTGTGACTTGTGATGCATTCCTCTTGGTATTTCCCTCAGCTCCTTTTCCAGACATTTCTAGGATGTATAACCGATTAATTTCCAATTTCTAAAGAGAGTGCTGAGAGGTCCCAAGAATTCTCCAGGCTTATTTTGTCAGCTCTAAGGTGAAATGGAATTTAGATGAAAATCACTATTGCTGTCATGGGAAGCTATCTCATGGCTCCACAAATCAGAGGCTCCAAAAACACATTAAGACAACCGAGGCCTGCAGGACTCCTTGCCTGAGATTTAGTGGTTAAAACTTGGCAGAAGTGGTGTGTGATATGAATATGATTTGTCTCCCTTAAAACAGGCACTAGGACTTAGTCCCTGGTATTAAGGTACTGAAAGGAGGTGGATTGGATGGAGCCTTACGGAGTGATTAGATCTTGAAGCAGGTATGCTGTTCCGGGGAGTCTGGCACTCCCCTCAGCCTCACCCACGCCCCCTCCCTCCATCATGCTATGAAGCAGCAAGAGCCCCTCCCAGACACATTGCCCAGGCTTGAACTTCTCAGGCTCCAGAACTCTGAATCAACACAAACCTCTCTTCTGTATAAATTACCATTCTCAGAGATTCTGTCATAACAGGAAATGGACTAGGATAGTGGATAAAACAGTGAGATAACAAAAACAGAAAACACTGAGTGTAGGCAGAGTTCTAGAAGACACAAATGAAAGCCACAGCCCAATGGGACAGCTAGTTTATCAAATCACATGGTATATCTTTTATTAAGAGGTTAATAAAGGGGCTGGAGAGTAGTTAAGCACATTGGCTGCTCTTGCAGAGGACCTAGATTCAGTTCCTAGCACCCACATGGCAGTTCACCACTATCCAAAACTCCGGTTCCAGAGTATCTATCCAACACTCTCTTTTGACCTCCATGGGTATTGCATGCACAGGCGCATGTGTACATACATGCAGACAAAACACTCATATACACAAAATAAAAATATCAAAAAAATTTTAAGTTAAAAAAAATGTAGTTGATGGGTCATTTGTGTGAGTGCCTGTTATCTGGGAAGAAAATAAGAGCACAGACACTAGGGCCTCCAGCACAAGGCATCGAGCTGCCCACAACCATGCAGGAGTGCTTTATTATGACGTCCACCTCTGTAGACTGAGAGGCCTGAGATGCTGTTTATGAGGATAATTTCATATAGTTTTTTTCATAGCTAATTTCTATAAAGATGTAATCATTTAAAATACATAAGATCTCTATTCTTAATATTTTTGAAAACACTTCTGGATAATGTTTTGAAAATGAAGGGTTAAAAAATATATTTATCTATAAAGTCATCAGATACACAGGCACCAAGGATCCGAGTGCAAATGATTATGACTAGTAATAATTAGACACATACAGAGGTGGACGCATGCACCAACATCTCAGTAGCAAAAACAATGAGTCTTTCTGCAAGGAACAATATATTCTAAAATGAAATGGAGATCTTTTTTAAAGGGTGGCAAAAGCAATGAGTCTTTCTACAAGGAACAATATATTCCAAAATGTAATGGAGATCTTTTTATATGGTTAAAAACTCATTCAATTTTATGTGTTACAGGGCTTATACTGAATTCAATATTGTATAACTGTATTGATTAAAAAGCGAACCTAGAAATTTTATAGCTACTTTTGAAGGAGTCTTTGCTCTGAAAATTGTTATTGGGCATGTTAAAGCTGTAATGATATGCTTCTAAAAAAATAATATTAAAAAATGTAGGAAACAGCAAAAAATTATTTATCATCATTGTGTGTGGGTGTGCATGATGTGTGGGGGACAGACATGCCACAGTGCACATGTGGAGGTCAGAAGAGAACTTTGTGGAGTTGGTTCTGTCCTTCAACCTTTATGTGGATTTGGGGGATTGAATTCAGGTCACCAGGCTTGTGTGATAAATGCTGTTTACTCACTTAACCACCTTCCCAGACTCTCTCTCTCCCTCTCTCTGTCTCTTTTAAAGACAAAATCTGGGCTGGGTGTGGTAGCACATGCCTTTTATCCCAGTACTTGGGAGGCAGAAGCAAGTGGATCTTTGTGAATTCAAGGCCAGCCTGGTCTACATAGTGAGTTCCAGGACAGCTGGGGCTACAGGGAGACCCTGTCTCAAAAACATCAAAGTAAATAAATACAAAATTTTGCTATGTATCCCAGGCTGGCCTTACTCAGGTTCCTCTTGCCTCAACCTCCTAAGTGCTGGGATGACCCTTAGGAGGATCTTTTAAAAGATCCTTTAAAGGATCTTTTTATGAAACCATTACAAGGTCAACCTCAGGATGCCCACCAACCAGTTATTTTTTGATGATCATAGGATTCAAACTAACACCAAACACCCGCTCTCTGGCCCAACTCCTCACCTGGGCACCAGAAGTCCTGATCCACTGTCTTCTCCTTTGGGGTTTCAGGGTGCCCATTTTCTTCTGGAGAAGTGATGTCCTGAGAGATAGAGGGCGAGTGTCCTGTCCACCATGCCTGGTCCTCACTGCTCAAGGACACAAGGGCTCCTGGCTGGCAGGCCTGGCCCCTGGAAGCCTTTAGATGCTCCAGCTCCACCATGGAGTCCGCACTTCTGGCAGCACTCAGACACCTCATCCGAGACAGGGTGCTCACCTCCCACATCCTTTTCAAGCGGTCTGGGTCTGCCTTCCTCGGGGGGGATACCAGCTTCTCTTGTAAACTCTCAATCACTTTGGAAGGGCTTCTGAGCCTTTTCTCTGAGCCCATCACACATGGGGTCTTTTCCGTGAAATGGAACAGAGTAGACTTGACAGGTGGTTTTGTCTCCTCATCCTTCTCCTCAAAAGACTTGGGCTCTGAGGGGCTGAGCAGAGACTCAGGGCTGGTGGCCTGGCTGACAGGGAACCCATCCTTGCCTGAGCACATGGGAGCCTGGGGGGCCCTTTCTCCTACAAAGAGGGGACTCTCAGTCCAGCCACACTTTCTCCTGCCATAGAAGGTATTGGTGGTCACTGAGGGGCCACCTGAGGGTATTGAGCTGGGTGATGAGTCCTTCCTGGGGGACTCTGGGCTACAGGCACTTGCATTGGGTTCAGGATGCTGGCTCTGTCCCCCTCTCCTGGCACCTGGAAGGAGGGACTCCACAGCCACCTCAATGCCCAGGATCCTTTCTGCTCTCTCCTGCAGGGACTCATTTGGGGGGACTTCCATCACACTCACTACACCCAGAGGCTCGTCTGACTTAAAGGCCCTCTGCTCTTGTCCCAGTGTGAGCCACAAAGACCTCAAATCTGGCACTGAGAGGCCTTGATATTTGTTAACAAGGGACAGTGGGACCTCTGTGTCCCTCTCCTCCCCATTGTCCACCTTTGGAGGCATCTCTCCACCCAGCTGCACAGACCCTAAAGCATCACTGAGTTTGTTGAGTTTTTCACTTTCCTTCAGTTCCTTCAGATAGGATGGGGGCACTGCTTTTGTGTCACTTGGTCTAGAGGACACCTTCCTGTTCAGAAGACCTGGGCTGACAGCTCGCTCACACACCCCATTTACAACCTCCTGGCTTTGCTGCTCTGCCATCTGGCTTCCATCTGCATGCTGGACAGGATTGCCTCTGCGGTCCTCTGCCTGTGGGTAGCCAGGGGATCCAGGACTGGCACATGTGTGGCCAGGTTTTGGTTCCTCATGCCAACACTCTGACATGCTTCTAGGTCTTCTGGTCTGCAGCCCTGGGTCCTCTGGCACCTGTGCTGTTGAGTGCTGCTCTACTCTCCGTCCCTGGCTGGTTTCACCACAGCCCCAGGCGCTGGGCCTGGAGTCTGCACAGTCCTGCTGCCGCTCTTCCCCACTGTCTTCACTGCTGCCACCGCCCCTCGCATCATGGCTTTCTTCCTCTTCTTGAAGCTCCTTGTTAAAACTTTCTAATTGACTTATCAGATCCCAGGGCCTGCGGCTAACAGGTTTCAAGAGAAACTGACCAAACAGCTGTGTGCTGTTGCATAGGCCTGCTGTAGGCTCCCCCTTCACCACCTCTGGCTTGGGCTCAGGACTGGCCCCATGTCCAGAAACATCCACGCCAGACTTAGCTGAGCCTCCTTTTGGCACAGGTGCCTGGTTTATGGCTGAAGAAGTCCTTGAGAAAGCACTATTGTGAGATGGGCTGAGGGACATTTGACCTCTGAGGTGAGGTACACTGGGCTTCTGTTTTTGGTCACTGGATGCTAAGGCTGTATGCATGTGAGCTTTGGAGGTGGTGGAGTCTGGACATTTTGGGGTCAAGCCTGCATTGCTGCGCCCTCCTGGTTTTGTGGCAGGGAGGAGCTGCGAACTTGTCGAGTCTTCAGGGAGGCTGGTTTGTGTCTGCTGATCTCTGTACTGCTGGCTGGGCCATGAGCCAGAGGACTGGAGCGCCCTAGGTTTGGTGAGGTGGATGAATCTGAGGTTATTTGTTAGTTCGTCTTCTGGTTCTTCCAGATCTTGCTTTGGGAATTCTCTTCTCCAAGCCATGTTTCCCATGAGGGCCTGTAGCTCCAGGTCGGTGGAAGACATGCTCAGCAGACTCTGTTCTTCCAATGCTGTGCTCTTACCCGGGCCATGCATCTTATCAGTGCTCGGTTTCAAGTCATTGTTGTTCCTATCCGTATCTGGCAGATGTGAGTCAGATTTAACTGGGATGGAAACCAAACAAAATATAGTCTCATTTTTTTTCTTCGAACTTTTCTTGCTCTGAATCCCAGTTTCAAACTTTCTGAGCTTGGTGTGGGTGTGACAGGTACTCTCGCTCTGTGGGTATGGGAAAGGGGTGTGGCCTACCTGGTTAAGGTGACTGTCTCTAATATCAGTCGGCGGTCCTCTGACAACAGGTTGGTCAGTATGGCCAGAGAAGCTTCCATGTTCAATGTCCATGGGGCCATGTAACCACCTGGGGCTGGAATCAGCAAGGGCTCGGCCCCTCTCATTGCCTGACTGGGATATCAGGCCCTGGGGTGGTGAAAGGGCATTATCACACTGCCTTTTCCCATGAGCTAGCTGCTGGGTAGTGATGGGACCAGAGCTATAGGCTCTGTCATCAAGCTTTGCCTCTTCATACAAGTCTGGGGGCTGAGCTAGTTTGATATGTCGGATTCGGGGGTCATCAAAGGGGATGTACTGAACAGAACCCCCAGTGGCAGCTGCAGAAAGGGGGTGTGGAGGGACCCCTCTTGGTGGGGAGCCTAGCACTGCATCCAAGTGGCTGGTCGCAAGGGAGCCAGAAGGAAGTGGAGAGCTGGCCCCAGGTGTCTCGGGTAGAAGCTGCTGTGGACCCTGGCTGTTGACATGACTGGGCACAGGGTCTTCCAAGTAAGGGTTTGGAATGTGCTGGGGGGGTGACCTGTATGAAGGTGGAGGCACATACACTGGAGGCTCCAAGCCAGAGTCCAAGACACCCAACTCGTGTCTGGGATCATGACTTCTGGTCAGGTAGGAACTGTGTGACTCTGTGTGCTGGCGATCCTGAAAGCTACCATCTTCGCCACTCCTAGACTGTGGGTGGGAGCCATAAGATGGAGGCTTAAGGGGTTTCCCGAACTTAGGCCTGGGAAAAGGGCCTGAAGAGCCAGCCTTCTCAGGGTTCCTCGTGGGTTCTAAAGGTGGTGGGCAGCTGGGAGGGTATGGTGGTACTTTTGGGATACCTGGGAAGTTGCCATCATGTAGCAGAATGGGAATTTCTGTGAAATTCAAGCTCTCGGGGGAAAGAACCCGAGGCAAGGACTGGGACTTCTTTTTGCTATGAGAAGCTAGCATGTGCTCTCCTGGAACAAATGGGTACAGATCCTGAAACACCTTCTCTGCGTCACCATCGGACATCTGCCTCCCTAACTTCTTTGGCTGCTTCCAGCTTTCCAAGCTCACATGCTGCCACTTGGCAGGAGCCGGCATCCTCATCTCTTCTTCCCACACAACCTTCTTCATCACATGCTCTGTCCTTCCTGTGACTTCCCATGGGTCCTTCCTTATGTGGATGGGCAGACTGTGGGTTTGTGCCATCCTCCTGACTTCCAGGTCTTCCCGGTCCCCAGGACACAGCAAGTCACTAGCCTCTTGCCTTCCTCTTCTCCAACAGGCGTGGTCACTACCAGTCTGAGGCTGAGAGGACCATGCTAAGGCAGGCTGATTAAAAATCCTGCAAAATAGAGAGGCAGATGTTATGTGCTGCAAAAACACACCCATCTCTGCTTCAATGACTGGTACTCAAGACCAGACTTGGGTCACCACCTTTGAACATTTGGTACTCAGCTGGGCTTTGTGGTACACACCTTTTAGTTCCAGCACTAGGGAGGCAAAGGCAGGTGGATCTCTGTGAGTTTGAAGCCAGCCTGGTCTACAGAGTGAGTCCCAGACCAGCTGAGGCTACTGGGAGACCCTGTCTCAAAAAGACCAAAAAGAAAAAGAAAGAAAAGAAAAATTGGTGCTCAATCACAGCACTTTACCAACAATAAAGAAAACAAGTCCTGCCAGTCATGGGTGGAATACAGCCGTGTTTAGTCATCAAGGGCCAAGTGGGAGCAGCAGGAACACAAGGATGCTGGCTGTGGATGACACAAAACCTACAACTTCAAAGTGCCCAGAACAAAGGGGCACCCTGGAGCAGTGTTCTTCCTGAGTGGTCCTGGGCCACCAGCAGCACAGGCCTGACACAGCCCAGACCAGTGGACAGTCTCAGGGAGTGAGTTCTTCATGGCACTGATCTACAACAGGTGTCAGAGGCACTGAGATATACTGAGATATTCCTAAAACGCATACTGCCAGGGCCCATCCCCAGTCATGCTGAGCGAGACTGGATGGGGTGCTATATTTTGCACAGCTAAGTTCCAGATAGTGGTGCTGCTGAGTCCTTGAACTTTAACTTTGCTGGTGACTGCACACTTGAATCCAAAATCCCAGTGCCCATAGTATTCTAGATGCACTCTGTTAGAATCTGAGACCTCGAGGGTGGCTCTAGAATGCCTACAGGTTCCTCTAGGGGCTCCCAGTTTGCAGCCCAGGGAATCTGGCAGAGTACCCATACCACTCTGATGAGAATCACCAGGCAGACTGTTAAACAGTCATGTGCTACTGCATAACGATGTTTCAGGCAATGACAGACTGCATACAACAGAGTAAGGAACCCTACTAGCCAGTGACATAGGTATGGTAACACCATGCAACTCATTAACTTGTGTGTTTGTGGTGATGCTGATGTAAACATGTTTACTGGCTGACAGTCACACAAAAGTATAGCACATGCAATTATGTAGACATGATACCTGAGAATAAATGACCATATTATTTAATTACTTTACTGTTAAAGTGTGCTTCTGGGCCTCTGGATTATGCTGGTGGCAGCTTCAGCATTTTGGATTTAGCTGATCTTTTGACTAATCAAGAGGCCATGTCCAGTGACTGACCTCTACTAGATTTGCACAATGCTCAAATCACCTAATTAAGTGGCTCATGTCATGCAAATTTTAGCAAGACCCCCCCCCCGCCCCTCTATGAAAGCTCAGACTCACTAGGTCTGGCTCTGACCCAGGCATCTGTATTTTTAACTAATATTCTATGGAATTCTTTTTTCTTCTTCCACTTTTTCTGTGTGTGTGTTGCTGTGTCTATATTTGAATGTATACTTGCACATGTAGGGGTATGTGTGTACATGCATGTGGAGGTGCAAAGTCAATGTTGAGAATGATCTTCAATCGGTCTTCTGTCTTATTCAGCGAGGGAGAGTCTCTCAGTCAAACCCAGATCTCACAGATATGGTAAATTTCCCTAGCCAGCTAGCTCCGGGGAGTCTTAGTCTCAGCCTTCCAAGGCTGAATTACAGGCTGCCTGACCCACCTGGCATTTACATGAGTGCTGAGGAGCAATTTCTCATGCTTGTAAGGCAAGTGCTTTAATAGCTAAGCCATCTCCCGACCCCTGCAAGGGGTTCTTCTCCTCTGGACAATTCAGGAACTACTGCTAGGGCAGACCCTGAGATGGGAGTGAGGGGTTCTCACTGCATATTAGAATTCCCTTGGAAGTCTTTAAAAACTATCAATGCTCAAGGCCCAGCTCCAGATGTGTGGATTTGATTGGTCTACGGAGGAGTCCAACACCAGTATATTTCAAATTTCCCCACATGATTTCAGGCTGCATTCAGGGGTTAGAGCACAGCTCTGATGCAACCCATCAGAGTGTCAGGACAGCACTGCTATGCTGTGAGGATATTAAAATGCTCTCTACCTAAGACCAGAGAACCAGGACTAAAAGTGGTTCCTGCAAGAAACTCAGGGGACTCAGCTGCTCCAATTAGCTATGGGCCAAGCAGAAGGTTTCAACTCTAAAATCACTGATTTTTAAAAAAAAATAAATTAAAAAAATATACTTATTGTTGAAAATGAAGGTTGGAAGAACATATAAAAGTACCAAAGTCAAGCACTACTGGTAATCTTTCTAGAAGCAGTCACTTTAACATATAGCTTCCAGTCTGTGTGTGAGGATGTGGGTTTTCACATAGCCTAGCATTTTCTTGGTATGATTTATATGCAGCTTTGAGTTACAAACAGCAGGTGGTGCTGGGTCAGTGGGTACTATCTGCCAGATTCATACCAAGTGCTTCTGGTACCTTCTTTCACCTAAGCTAAATGGAGGAATGACCGCTAATGCTAATTTACAAAGGAGGAAACTGAGACACAGAAATAACTTGCTTAATACTAACATTTATCAGACAGTTACACTACACCACACATAATGTCAAGCATGCCAAATGAGCTATTTCATTTGAAGTTTACCACCACCATCATATTTGACCTCTTTGACAGGTAAGGAAACCAAGACACCTAAAGTTTAAAAAACTGTCCCAAATTACACCATCATTAAGAATGTGGAAAAGAGGGCTAGGCATGGCATCCCAGCACTTGGGAGGCCGAGGCAGGCAGATCTCTGTGAGTTCAAGGCCAGCCTGGTCTACGTAGTGAGTTCCAGGACAGCTGGGGCTACAGGGACACCCTGCCTCAAAAAAAAAAAAGAACGTGGAAAAGAATTTTAACTAGAGAAATGTACAACAGAAAGCCTCTCAACTGACCACTGCTGTTTATTTTTATTCAATATTATTGTTGGAGGCTTATGAAAAAAAATTTATCAGTCTTTTTGAGACAGTATCTCCCTTTAGCCCCAGCTGGCATGGAACTCGCCATATAATCTAGGCTGGCCTCGATTTCAAAGATCTGCCTGACTCTGCCTCAAGAGTGCTGGGACTAAAGACATGAGCCACCATGCCTGACTGTTTTGATTATTTTTGTTTGTTTCTTGATGCAAGGTCTCCAGTAGTCCAGGCTGACTTTGAATTCCTGATCTTCCTGCTTCTACCTCCCAAGAGCTGGGCTGAAGTGTGTGCTACCAAATTTGCAGTCACTGTATTTTACCTTCCATTCTAAGGTAAAATCCTTCCAGTGTTTAATTGTGGTCGACAAATAGCATCTCATAATCTATGCATGATCTGAGCACTGGATCAATGTAGAACATTTACGTAGATTCTTTCCTAACACACACTGGGAAATGGTTTTCCCACTAACACTTAATGCAAGTCTCAGCTGATTGAGAGTAAATCCTTAGAAAAGGAAGAAGTAGATAGATAGTAGATGTCAAGTCAGCCTTAGATAAGCCAGTCCAATTACAGACCCACATGGAGTGTGGAGAACAGCCTGGGTGTAGAACCTGTTCATGCCTACTTACAATCATTTTCTTCCTTACTAAGCAAAATTAACTTATTATTTTCACTTGCACTCCCCTGATTACTAAAGTCAATTTTTTTCCATTAAACTACATTCTCTGATTTCAAAGAATTTCTCCCACATGGGCCACTTTTTGGATATTTATAAGTCATGAGGGCCTGCGGAGGGTGCAAAAGTCACCAGTCCTGTGTGACCATGACACATAAAGGCCTGAGCCTAGAATGGCCAGAGCATAGCTGCTGTGCAAGGAGCCACTGGTAAAATCTGACATTTTGATAATTATTACTATTCTTTTGGAGCTACTTATTTGCCTCAAAAAGTGAAATCAGCTTCCAAATCACTGAAAAGGCAGCCACTTGCTGCAAAGATGAATTATGGGTAGAAAATACTCTGTTTTTGGAGGGCAAGCATGTGCCCCTGAGCAGTCTATGTGCTTTGAGTGTGGTGCTCAGAGCAGGCTGTCAGCACTGGGCATGTGTGTGGGGACCTAAAGGCCCTACCTTGCATAGGTCTGAATGGAAGTTACTAGGGGCGCGGCCTGGCTTGCTTTGAAAGTCTGACTAATACTTCCGCACTGCTGAGGAGCACATGATCAGCGTATGACCATCCTTAAGATACACCCTCATGGGGGGAGGGGGGATTTCCAGGTGCCTTTATAAGTTCTGTAACACCTGCAATAGATGAGTCCCTGCTTGACTAGGCTCCCTGTTGTGACTGAGCGTTCCCAGTATTGGGGGTGGCGTGGGCTGGCGAACGGCATGCTTACTCATCCCCAATCATCACTGCCTGGGGGTTGCTGGTTCAAACCCCCAGCAACTGGCACCCAACGTGGGGCTCCAAGGAAGGTGAAAAGAAGAAAAGAAAGAAGAAAGAAGAAAAACGGATTGGGGCCAATCGGAAGTTTGGGGTAAGCAAGACCTGGAAAGATGGGTAACGCAACTTTTAAGCCTGAGGACCCAGCGCTTAAAGAGCTGAGAGATATGCTTAAAAGCAGGGGATTGGATTTGTCAAATCTGGTAGCTCAAAAGGTTTGGGCAGAGGTGATTCATTTAGCTCCCTGGCTACTTGGGGCCTAATGCTTTTACTGGGGATCATGAGAAGAGTTTGAGGAAGAATGCAGAAATACAACAGAAGTGAAACCAAAAGCAGCCAAAGTAACAAGCAGCACCTCAGGCATGCCCTGGCCAGCTTCAGAGCCCCCCAGGAACCATGAAAACAGGACCCATGGATGCCTTTTTCAGAAGGGTGGGGTGGAGCAGAGTGCACAGGTCAGCAGCAAAAGCCTCCCACCCTACCTGCCTTGAAATAACTCGTGCACACATGCTGCCCCACGCCCAGTGACTGGTGGGAGTCAGGGGCTCACGTGAAAGCCGGGCGGGAGACCGCCCCCTGGCCAGTGACCGGCTGCTGCCAGGTGCATTTGTGGAAA